GTTCATTTCGTACTAGAAACATAACAGATACATTCATGAACTCCTTCAAAATTAGGTCTGTTGTCCAAAGTGTGACCTTCCATAGTATTACCAAAGATAACCAATACTACCTAGTCTATGGTATTACCAGGAAACACATTTATGTTGTACAGTACTATTGCAGTTTACTTTGCTATAGTTTCTCCAACATTACCTGGAAATTAGACATTCTTGAATCTTTTCTTCCACCACAAGGAGATTAGCCGACATTTCCATTGTCCATTGGCCACGGCATGGGTCCGGACCCAATGACAATACTGGGGTCAACCCATCACAGTTATATTGCGACAACTACACCTAACTGTCTCCCATACCATTGCACAATAGCTAGAGGAAGAAAGCTAGAGGATCTTCATGAGACGCGGTTTAGAAATTCTTAAACAACGAAATGTTGACATAATTTTCTTTTATCTCAATTAAGGTGTACTGCCTAATTTAAAACCTTAAACAATATGTTAACGACAAAGATTAAACTTTTAATCATAAAGATAGTGATGTTGGTAAACCAATTGTTTTCCTGTCCCCAAAACTGAGATGAAAGCTGAGTTAAAAACAGAAGTAGCATAAACGTAATCTTTTTAGATAGCCTAACTGACCAGGATTTAACTAAGTTTTTATTCATATAAGCATGATTAAAGTAGGCCTAACCTTGTGCGGGCTTCTCAAAGTTGAAATCGTAAGTTCTGAAAAAAGAATAAAAAGTGAAACGTTCTATGCGTTCTACTTGTTAAAACCTGTTGTTGTAAGGTTAACGCATCAAAGAGACTCGAACGATCGGTTGCGCCGAAGTCTTCAGCGTCTTTCATTACATCTTCTTCATATCGGGGTTTACCTCTACAATCACTTGTACTTCACTTGTACTTGTACTTGTACAATCATAGTATACCTCGTACACTTAAATACAAATACATATTCTTTAACAGCAAAACATGTAAAATGTCTTCCCTTATTCACACGATGTTTGTCGTTTCTTAAACTCTACCATTGACAACGAATATTGTGAATAGACTTCTCATTCTGTAAAATTAGAACTCTGTTTTTATGTGTGTTTAATTTTGTTAGTGTTTGAGTGAGCTTGTGTCGAATTATGTCTCTATATTATTTTAGGGGTGGTTTTACTATTTGGATATTACGCTTAATAAGTCACAATACATAAGTAATGAGATTGTAGCGATAGGTATTATGAAAGTTTACTTTTTTTTATAGAAGCTCACTTTGAACGTCTTTGAGTCTTAAGCAGAAGATTCTTTTTAATTTACCAGAAGCTCTAAAAAGAGGACTGTGAAATAATGATGCGACCTAACCTAACTAAAATGGAAAATCTAAAAACTCTTTCTACATATACCGGACGAAACTAACCTTAAAATCGTCTTCAGATCCATAAGGATGGAAGTCTGTCGGTGAGTATATGTTTAATGGAAAACTTCACCCACTTTTCGGTGTTGGTTGAGTGCCAGTACCACGTGACCAGTCACTTAACCAGTTCCGGTTCCGTTACTTCCAGTTGCAAAGCACGTACCTCTAGACTTCCTCTTGTAATCTTGAACCAGACAAGTGTTTAGCATCACTGCATCCGGCGGATCTGCTGCTGGCAACACTGATTTTGGAAAAAAATTATTGATGAATCAAATACGTTTTTAGCTTTTAGCTTATGCACGTGTTGGCGTGATTGACAGCCACTGCGTTAGGAAATTCGTATTTTGATTTTCGCTACACCACTCATATGAAATTTAAAAAATTTAACATTGGCCATATTGATTTCCAAGTAACTATGTTGGTTGGACAAAATAACAAGGAAAAAGTAAACAAAAAAATGCAACATGTGTTTATAACAAGGCATCCACAGTATACTAGCAAATTACAATATACAGTAAAAAGGGGAAAACATATCTGTTACTATTGAGCAAAGATTACACTGATGATTAAGTTACTCGATATAGGGAAAAATGGTTTCGATCAAATGCCTATTATTTTACTTGGCTCTCTCTTATCAAAGCTTAACCCCGAAGAACTGAGGAAATGTTTTAGCAAACTTTGTTTTAACAGTGAAATCAGTATTATATTTATTTTATGTAAATTAGAATTTAAACAAAAAAAAAATCAATAATCTGTTTTTATTCAAACAAACTACTAAAACAATGTTCTTGCGAGTATATATTTATTATTATAAACGAATGATTTTTACAATTGACTGGAGGATAAAATTTACGTCTCTTAGGATTTCCAGGTTAAAATTTCCATCACAATATAAATTGAAATTCCACTGAAACTTAAATAATGAAACCCAAAATTAGTTGTAAATCAAACGTGAGTTTCCTTATATTGCTTTTACAATATAAATAAACTATAACGAGCCATGGCTCAGTACCCAGGTACTAAATTTTTAAGTGGAAATTGAATCAACAAGGATTGCTCGCCAAGGATGGTGAAGTTATAACTTCAACAATCAAGTCTATCAGACGGTTTTGCCAGATCAAAACATGTACAATGTCATGAGAACAGATGCAAATTAGGTGGAAACGGCTTCATAATTAAAACAGCTTTGTTAAGAAACCTTCCGGAGTCTCACGGCCTCCTGATGACTCCCTGGCCTAGAAACCGTCCCAATGGGAGGATGGCTACATGACACAGAGTATGATTAGGAAGGTCTAGGAGTTAGAACCTCTTCGCTACATCCTACTGATGAGGAAGGTCTAGGAAGTAGAACGTCTTTGCGACATCCTACTGATGAGGAAGGTCTAGGAAGTAGAACGTCTTTGCAACATCCTATTATCGATGAGGAAGGTCTAGGAAGTAGAACGTCTTTGCAACATCCTACTATCGATGAGGAAGGTCTAGGAAGTAGAACGTCTTTGCTACATCCTGCTATCGATGAGGAAGGTCTAGGAAGTAGAACGTCTTTGCTACATCCTGCTATCGATGAGGAAGGTCTAGGAAGTAGAACGTCTTTGCTACATCCTATTATCGATGAGGAAGGTCTAGGAAGTAGAACGTCTTTGCAACATCCTACCATCGATGAGGAAGGTCTCTAGGAGGTAGATCAAGGGCCATATTTTGAATCTACATGGCCCCTGGCTGGCGACTCATTCCAGAGAAGCCCTTCTTGTCTGATTTTTAATTTGATGGAGCTTAAGGGTTTAGAAAATTGGGGCTATTGCAATGGTGCGTAAATCGACCTGGTATTTGATCCATTGTGTGAATAAACCTAAAGTAGTAGGCCAGGTAATAAGGCTGATAAGTGTTTCAATTCAATAATATTGGGGTTTGCGCGACTGGCTTTATTTTTTCAGGTCGGGTGAAAATCGAATTGCTTTGGGGAATATTGATTGAAAAAATAATTCATTATACTACATTCGGTTTGAGCTTCTTCAATCGCAACGAAATCTTGAGCTAGTCGTGGCAAAATCACGAGCTTCTCCTACATCCACGATGAAATAATGAAAATCTTCTCCGTTTGCGGAGAGATCATCTCCCGAAATTGCAGAAAAATAATGCACGTCTCATGTGGTCGTGGAGAAATCGTGAACATCTTTCGCGGTCGCAAAAACTTCGTATTCGTCTCCTGCGATTGCGGCGAAATCGTGGCTTTCGATAGCGAAATCTTCGCAGACGCTTTCGGTAATCACAATAATAAACACTCGGACCAAAAATCAAACCTTTGAGGTGAGGGTGAGGCTCCAAAGTGAGTTCTTAACCGCAGGGAGGGAATTACGGTCCAGTCCAACGTCCAGTCTAGCTAGATGACCCTGCTTTGTATCATCCTACCGATGAGGAAAATCTAGGAGGTTGAACTGCTTTGCAACATCCGAACCTCCCACTATCCTCCTGTGAACGGGCAACTGTTGATTGTTGCCGCTACTCAGTAGTGCCAACTTCACTCTTGCGTGGAACTGTGGAAGGGAAATTTCCGTGGTCAGCCTGCTGTTTCAAATAATGTCCTTGAAATGTTTGTTCAGGTGTACGTGTATTTTGTTCCGGAGGCGATTGCGTTGACATCAGTTTTGAAGAAAATACTAACCGTAACCTCAGAATTCAAGGCGATGGAATGATGGAGTCAATTAATTCATAGAGATTTCCCAGAGTGATAATTAAAGTATTTTAATTTCCCAGTGTAATATAAAAGGATGATTTCCATTGTTCCCATGGAAAATATCGAATGGGAATATAAGTGGCTTGTATAAGTAACAGACGAGGCAATTATTTAAAATATGCCTCATATAACAAGAAACAGATCAGGATTAGACCAAATAACTTATACAGTAAGGTATTAAAAATGCACAAGGATCGATTCTTTCTTACTAAAAACCTGATCATATTGAAATGATGCTAGGAAGTGGTTTGAAAACACATGATTATTTTTAAAATGACAGTAAAATGACATAATCAATTTACTCTTTGTAATGAATTGTTAATAAATAGCATAGTTAGTACAACAAAAATTACACAGTTTACAGTTTAGTATTGCAATTAGTTTTATCGTTCATTCGTCGTAGGATTCAGCGTGAAGTTTAATCACGATACATTTTTTTTTAGCTTAGTACAAATCAGCTGATCAGCTGTCAGCTGTTGTTTCAAAGTTAGGGTAAGGTGAAGGGGATGAAATCACTTCCCCTCAAACCGCCTAAATTTTTTGTATTTGACGCCGCTCAAAAAAGAAAAACCAGGAACTCAGGAAACCCAAGATTTTTTATTTAATCGTTATTTTTAATCAATTTACGCTTTCAATATTTAATATGGATTAATTAAGTAACTATATGGAAACTAATAATTTTGATTAAAATAATGATAATACAATTAATTACAGTTTTAAACATAAAGTAAACACTGAATTTTAAAATTAATTGTTTAGTATTGCACCTGCTAGGACTTATATCAAAGGGAATTAATCACAATGTCGGGAATTCCACTTTGTTAACGTTGGCAGCACTGTTTTGACACTTGCCGCTTTGGCGTCAGAGAGAGACAACATCTGTTACCTTCAACAGGGATGTGGGGAACTGTCAATGATATTTTTGATAAATTGTTATGTTAAATTGAGTTTATTATAGTTTGAGTTATGATTTTCGTTTAATTTATAGTCTACATCTGTTTTAACATGTTGGCAAACGACTACACTCTGGAATTGACCAACATCTTCCACACTGGCCAGGTAAGCTATGGAAATGCCTTTACAAATGTCACTTTGACATTATGGTTTAAACTTTTTTACTTTATTTTTATTAGAAACTGATTTTGCCGTAGTTGTTAATTAATTATTTGAGTTTTTCCAGCTAATAAAAAACTATCAACTTTGGTAACTGAAGTATTGTTGTACTTAAAACAATAAATTCATTATAAACATTTTTTATTGAGAGTTTTTTTTGTAAGCTAGTAGTCTTATTTTGCATGTGAATAATGAAAAATAATTATCTATCTTTGAGGTCATGTCACAGATTTAAGGGTTGAAGAGAGTAGACGCAAAACTCTTAAATAAAAATAAATAATGTCAATTAATTGAATGTTCAAAGATTTTTGAAATATTATAAACAACATTAAATTCTTCCTATTAATCTTTTATGGTCTAGTAATTAATTTGCATAGCAAAATTTTCCTGCCTTTTTTAAAAAACAGCGAATTTCCTAAATTTAATGCCTTAAAGTATCAATCACAGTTTTATAATTTGTGAATAAACTTGAAATTAATAATTTTATTAAATATTGGATTACTTAAGTATTAATCTACTGTAGGGATGAGCATCGATCAATCATCAATGAACCGATAACATCTCGCAAAAACATTGATGTTTTCGGGGCTAATACATTGATTTCAGTCAATTTTTTTTAGTTTTTTGTCTTCTCTCTCTGCTGCAATGCTAATTAACCTAAAACTAATACAATTCAGTCATGGAAAACATTGATATTTCAATACTTGGCCAAATATATCGATGTTCTCGACAAAAACATTGGTACTCTACCATCGATGTTTATTTTAGAATAGTTTGACGTTACCTATTGTATTTATTTACTTAATGGTATAATAAATCTCTTGAATCTCTCTCTTGAATCTCTTGAATCTCTCTTGAATCTCTTGAATCTCTTGAATCTCTCTTGAATCGATGTAAAAAACAGAACATATAGAAAAACATTGATGTTTCAAAACATCGACTTTCGATGCTCATCTCTAGTACACTGGTTAAAATTTCTTAGTTGTTTAACCCAATTTAAGCTAATAATGCATTACCTAGCAAAAGCAGGCTACAGTAGAAAGTTGATAATTCAGACGTAACAAATCTGGACCATCAATAATCCAGATTCTTCCCTACCAAGAAATAAAATTTTGTATGCACAAAATTCTTTTCTGTAGAGTACGATGTTAATTTAACACTGTTATGCTAGAAAAATAAGGTTTGTATTACTCGTGTTTTACCAAAGATGTGTATACATTTATGTAACTCATATACTGTCTAGGTTGAGCCAGGGTCCTGTCTTCAGAGATTGTGTGGAAGTGTACAGACAGGATTGATCCTGAAGGATATCTCCTTAGAAGTCCGCGCTGGAGAGGTCCTGGCCATCCTCGGATCCAAAGGTAAGTTCGCTTCCTCGTGAACTGTAGTCTTGCACCAAGTTGATTTGTGTGTGGTCAGTGTTTGATTGTAAATAGAGAAACTGAAATTAAATAAAAAACTAATGAAATCAAATTAAACTGCAGCACTGCAGCATCTTTATCGACCTATTATTTACACAGTTGAGCAAAGGTCATTGAACACAGGGTTTAATTTCTAGAATCTTACCATGAATCAATCCTCGAATTTCTACAGAGCACTAAATAAGAATTTTTATTTAGTGCTCTGTGCTCATTTCACTAATTCCCTTCCTGCTCCTGAAGAGACAATTTTGTACTTCTCAAACTCAAACACAAGTGAAACAAATATTTAGCTGTTAGCTTTGCAATAGTCAATGCTTCCAGTATTTCTTTCCATAGTATTTCCCACTAAATCAAACACTATATAAAACATTTAACATATCCAATTTTACAAATTTAAGTAACCCAACCTAAGATGGGAAAAAATTGTTTTTGTATTTTACTTACAAGATATTTAAAAAATAAATATATCATTTATTTATTTAATTGACATTTCATCAGCCCAAATAGTCTCAAATACTGGAGATACAGCCTGGAACCTATACAATATCTTACAACACTATTCCTTGATATTTCAGGTAGTGGTAAGAGAGCGCTGCTTGAGGTGATATCTCGCCGTAGCCGAGGCCCGACCCGAGGACAGATCCTACTAGATGGAACCCCGATGACACTCAGTCTGTATCAGCGCAGCTGTGGCTATGTCAGTCATCGTACAGACCTCATACCCAGCCTAACTGCGGAGCAGACTCTGCACTACGCAGCCAATCTCACTGTCGGCTCACAGGTAATTACAATGTGTTGTATTACAATATGTTACATGAATTACAATATTTTACATAAGAAGATGTAAGAAACACAGTTATAGGAGCTTAATAGTCTTGTGGTAGAGCTAGAACTTTTGGTTCTTGAAGATTTGAGTTTAAATCTCGCCAATCACCGATTGCTTTTATAGTTATGTAATAATACCGTGACTCTCTAGGCCCAGCAATGTGTAAGTAAAACGGTTCTGGACTAGAGTCTATCACTATTGAATGTGAAGGTAGTTCATAAAATAAATTAAATATTGTTATCGAATTGGATAGAGAAAATGTATTCAGTGAAGTGTGGCACTATCTTGTGGTATAAAGAAGACATTTCCGAGCTTTTTCACATTGTCAAGATAATTATAAATAAAATTATCAATATCATTTACCCTACTATAACAACATTTTCAAGCAGGGACATCTGTTTAATTTAACAATGTATCATACAAAAATTTACATAAACCACAACATCAGCTGATATTTCTCGATTCACAGAGAATACATTTTTCCATGTTAAGAGTTTTCTTCGATAGGAATCACAAGTAATATCGCCTCCAACATTTTAGGTATCCTTAAAATTGGTTTTTAATTAATTAATCTGTCACTCTAATTTATATATGTACATTTTCAATTACTTCTTTCCAAAAGTTGGGGTGCTTTGGACGTATTACTTGTTCTCTTATGGGGTGTTAGCATCTCAAATTAACATCAGTGGTTTTACGTTCACATTGATGTTTTTTGTTCTTTTCATACTGAAATAATTTGAATCTTTAAAACTATATCTAAGGCTCCTGGATGAAACATAGCATGGCCGCGTTAAGGGTCAGTGGAGCCCTGGGCAAACCCAAAAGCAGTACCCCCTTTTTTCCTAGTGCGGGCAGGCGGTTGTTAGGGGATGCCCAGTGCCCCTGGGCCTGGGCATACTCATTCTGCCCGTTTATAAAAGCGGGCCTGAAACTTAGATGCAAAACACATATGGTAGCACAGTTTTGAACAAATGTTTGATAATATGTAATGGTGACAGGTATCAGGCTATGTCAGGAGTTCAAGGGTTCGAGGGGTGTTGGCAGACCTGGCGTTGAGTCAGGTGGCTCGACGCAATGTTGCCAACCTCACCACTAGTGAGCATCGCAGACTTGTAGTTGGCATGCAGCTCATCAAGGATCCTGGTAACAAGCTTTGATTGATGTAACACAAATCAGCTGATTGTTTTCTCTTGTTTGAAATTAGAGCTTTTGAAATATTTATTTCCTGAAAATAGCTACTAAAGAGCATAATCATTGACTTTTGAGATTGAAAAAGAGTAAAGACCCACCTCTAATGGACCACCTAAAGCTATTTTTAATGAAAAAAATATAGTTTAATATAATAAGCTACTTCACAGAGTGTGTAAGATGCAGGATAAAATTATGTTTCCTATTTTAGTTTTTGTCACAAGGACATTAATGTTATAGTTTACTACTAATCTGTTTAGTTTCACAGTGTTTAAAAGTTTTAACACAAACCAGTGATTAATCAAAATGTCGGTGCCTCAATTCAATCTAAAACTGAATACATTACATTATCTGAAACAAGAGAATGGAATATCTTGTTCTATCCATAGTCGAAAGTAGTAGTTTTTGAATATTTTCATACAACATATGTAATGGTTTTGCTTATTTATATTAAATATTTTTAAGGTTATGGCACTAACATAAATTTCAAAATGTTTTTCGATTTAGTGCTTTTCATTGTTTTTGTCACAAGTTGGTATTCTAATATTGCCTATGTGTGCTTCCTCAAAAAATTTTCAATGTAAAATTCCACGTGTTTTAATTGATAATTTTAAAATTAACAATGAAATAATTCGTATTTTCTATTGATTGGTGTTTTATAAAAAATGTGAGTAAGTACTCAGACTTAATACAGTTTCAGGGAATACTTTGAACTCTATGGATTATATAGTTATGCCTATTTTCATTATGTTTCTCTCATCTAGAAATAACCACAGAGAAGTAAGGTACAGAGGAAACACGCTTACGGGGACGATTGTGCGCTTTAAGCTCTAATATGCTGTGCCGGAAATATACTTGTGACGAGCAAGGCACAGCCCGAGCGGAAAGAACTAAGTGGAAATTCCTATCACAGAGGGCAAAGTGTCTTCCTCCACTGTGAGCGTTGTAGTACATGAGGGCAAGCGGGGTGGTGTTGGACTTTGACTTATAACACCAGCATTAGTGCTATGAGTAGACGTCACCTAAGAGTCCCATTGAATTTTTACTCTGCACCTTACTTCTCTAAAACATAACTCTTTTGAAAACAAGTTTTCGGTGGACACACACAAATACAATACGGATACAGCAAAAATTAGCAGAATATCTAATTTTAGATGCAAATTAGAAAGAATTAATCCATCCTGTCAATTTCCACATTCCAACTCTATTTCATTTTGTAAGGGAACAATCCTACCATTCTGTACTCATAAAAAATATTTTTTTTATTCCATCTACTCCGTCATTTCAACCATGTCTAAACTGGTTGCAGCATTACTTCTCCTGGACGAACCCACAGCAGACCTGGATCCACTGGCGACGTACCTGATTGTGTCGATGTTGTCGTCACACGCACGACGCCGCGGTCGCATTGTCATCCTCACCATGGAGAAGCCCCGCTCCGATGTGTTTCCGTTCCTGGACCGCGCGGCGTACCTCTGTCTTGGAGACTTGGTATACGCAGGACCTACGAGGCTCATGCTGGAATACTTCAGAACCATCGGCTTCCCTTGCCCTCAACTTGAGAATCCGTTGATGTATTATTGTAAGTGCTTTTGTAACTTATTTTTACTTAGAAAAGTTTGTGTTAATTCCTAGCTTCGTTGTCTAGAATACTTCTAAAAAAGTTGATTGTGACTTGATGAAGTATAGACAACTATACGTTTAATTTTGTTGAAAAGTTTGAAAACACATTTTTTATATGGATAAAAACAAGCAAACCCTATAACTTATTTTGGGAGAATACACACTAGTTTTTAAGGTGTTGTTACCAAAACAAGTTGTGAAAAAAACTTAAACGTTGTCTTTTATTAGGTATGTAAGTAAATAGCAAGATAATTTTACTCCATCTTAAACATTTTAATTTCTTTTCCAGTGTGTCTTTCAACGGTGGATCGAAGGTCTCGAGAGCGTTTCATTGAGTCCAACACGCAGATCATCGCGCTAGTAGAGAAATTCAAATTGGAAGGTGCAGTGTACAGACGAAGCTCCGCCGGCGGAGTCAGCCACGTGGTCATGGGGGGTGACGGGGGACCCCGTCATAAACTTCCTTTTACAGCGTTTGGAAAACCTTCTGGTCTACGAGTTGGGTTTACTTTGTATCAGTAAGTAAAACCTCTTATCATTATAATTAATTAAGAGTCCTAGTTTTACTTTAAATGGAAACAATAGCTTTTAAATTTTTTTGCTAGTTTAATCTATACTAGATAATCGACAAATTTTAGAATTGTTTTTGAAACATTAAATTTGAATTAATTTTCAGTAAGTAGTTGATAGCTGTAACGTTTTGTCACAGATGTTATATTATTTTACTTGTGTTATATATTCAGATTCAGATTGATATCAGTTAATGTAATAGGTACTAAGTTTTAAGGTACAAAAGGCCAATATATAATTTTTTCATACCTATTTTGTACCTTAAAATTTAGTATTACATTATATTAATATGCCAATATCTCCAATATAAGTTTTTCAGTTCGAGTTCAACTTTCTACAAGTTTTAATTCCTCGGTTATTACTGTGTTCTATGATAAGTACCTACTCAAATATATATTTTGTTGTTTTATTTCACAATTAAAAATATTGTTCTAAATTTTTGAGAATCATAACTAAACAATATTTATAGTTTTACTTAAATCAAATCTTAGATTTATAGTTTAATATTTTTCGTTTTGAAAATGTAGGTATGTCTAGTACGATTTTCAACTTATCAAAACATCTCCTTTCCTCATAATAAAATGGTAGACTATTTATATGTTTTGTAAAAATGATTTCATCCTATAAACAATTATCCATATCTTCACAATTCGATGTTGATTGTAGGAGAATGCTGGCTTCAGTTTTTAACCTTTCTTCCATCGCAGCTGTTCACCTGATGCTGAGACTATTGCTGATGCCTTGTTGTTCAGCATTGCTCTTCCTGTTTTATCAAAACATCCAGGTGGGTTATTCTAAAGTTATGAACAAATTTGAATTTTTTTTAAACTAAAAATTGCTGTAATTTGTTAACTTAATGTGTATCCATCAAAGAATTTAGTATGGTACCTGAGTTTAAGGTTCAAACTAACCTGTATTGTTTTCATAGAAGTTAAAATCTTATTTCTGTTTGGTTTCAGGACAATCCGTGGACGTTTGTGTCTCGCAACGGTTTGCTGTTTAACAGTCTGCTTTGCATGTATCTCTGCTCCATCATAACCACTGCCACAACATGTGAGTTACTCAAAAGAATCAATAATTGTTTGGAAACAATACTTCTCAGTGAGATTGTTATAGGCAGTGCTCGATCTGGGGGGAACGTGGCGGAACGGAGTTCCGGTATCTCTCTTTCAGAAAGATAAGAATATTGGTATAAGGTTCTAATCATATTAAATAGGTTACTGTTCCTGCACCTCATTTTTTACGAATTGAGCATTGATTATAGGTTGTTATAGTTTATTGCAAAACTAACAATATTAAATTACCATTTTTAGCCTGTATGCGGGAGTTAGATGTTTGTGTCACCCTATAAGTACATTTCACTATCTTGTGTAGCATCTTCAGGGGTGTCTTCTTATCCTATTTTCGTATCACCAACACTATTGTCTGTATATTTACAAATACTTACAATATCGCAGTCAGGTCGAGCAAATAACACGACGACGGACCAGGGTTGCCACCTGTCCTGATTCTGCCAGGACAGTCCCGATTTCGGTTCCTTATGCCCGCATTTAAGCCTATGTTAATCCGGAGGGAGGGGGGCCATGCCCCGATTTTTCCCTTACCTAAGGTGGTAACCCTGCGACAGACACACGTTGGAGTCATCTATGCAGAAAAATCTTTCTTCCTCTATTTCATTTCTTGTAGGTTCTAGAAGTGACGAAATTTGGGGTGATCTAGGACTGAGGGTAGGGACTTTTCTTGTTTATGGTCGGATGTGTGTTCCGTAGTGAGGCCAGTTTGTTGCTGTATTTCCAGGTTTGTTAGTTTAAATGTTGTAGATTAATTTGAAAAATATAGAGCTGATGACATTATTTTTGTTTAGGAGGGTGTTCCATCCAGTAATACTAAGGCCCGGTTCACACGAGTGACTTATCCAGCTGACTTGCGTTGACTAGCATTCCTCGTGACCCGGCGATACACCGGTTCACACGAGTGACAAGTCCACGGACTAGATGAAAATATCGATATCAAAACCACTCGGATCCATCACTGGCGCACAATGAGAACAAAGGAAAGAATGTGAGCTGCAGCGCGACTACCGATCGGAACGCTCCCATAAGGATACGTGTACTGCTACGCCACTAGAGCTCTAGAGCGGGTGACTGGGTAGCTGCGATGAGTTGCGACACTTGACTGGGAAGGGGACGATGGTTTGCGACACCAAGCTCGAATGCAGCTCGATCGCCGTCACCCTACGCTCGTATGAACGGCTCCATTTGATCCTGTGGTCTGCTACCTAGTCCGGCTTACCTTGTCACAGCCTAGTCAGCTAGATAAGTTGCTAGGTATATGTTTTTATATTTGGTAACTTTCTTTTTCTTTTACTAATTTTTTTGAGTGGGAATTGTTTAGAATCGTGAGGGAATCAGGAAAAGTTAGTTGGGTTTTGACTTAGGTGTTTGGCTCACATTGATGTAGGAGGAAAATCCTGTTCTGATTAAAACCATCATGATTTACAATCATGATCCAGTAAGTTGTTCTCTGTGTTATTTTATTGAAACAGCTGATCTCTACAGCTGATTCTGTTCCAGATGGCGTATATCGGACGAGATATTACCAAGAGGCACAGGAGGGAGTGTATTCAGGTCCGCTATTCCTGCTCTCCTATTGGCTCTTCTCTCTCCCCTTCTCTCTGATCACAGTGGCTGCTGGCTCAAGGATATTATTTGAGTGAGAATTAATTACATTAACATTTTTTTATCACTGCCTTTACAAAAAACCCATTTTTTATCCTTCTCGTTTTTATTAAAAATTTGCCCTGATTCATGCATTACAAAAATGCATTCCAAAAATTAATTCGTAACAGTTCCTTTTCCTTATAATCCTCTATCCTCGTCATATTCAACAGATGCAATGATTACCGGAGAAATTACAAGTCATTTGATATTGAGGCATCAGGCCTATGGTAATGAAAAACTTCTATTAAGTGGATTGACGGTGTTTAAGGCAATAAATACCTGTAATTTAAGCTAATCAAGTACCACCCTGGAAGAAAGAATCAGGCTTTGCCTATACTTTTGGTGACGACTACTTAGGAACATAGATTCTCACATTATTGTTTATTTGCAGGGTGACAGGTATGGAGACAACCAAGGACTGGTGCTTGTTCGCTGCTGTGTTGTGGGCTTGCTACTTGCTGGCCGAGCAGCAGACGGTCGCCCTCATGATGGTAGTCTACAGCTCATTCACCGCAGCGCTAGCGAGTCTCTATATCAGCCTTGTGTGTCTCGTGTTTGCCAGTGGAGCTCTGCGGTGAGTGTAGAATTTGTATTTGCTAACACATAAGTCAAAGCATAGTTTTTAACAGGTTGTTTTTGAGTTCAATGGAAAATCAGTTGAGATTGGAAATTTTTTTAAAAGTTTTTCTACAGAGGTCAGCAACCCAGCCGTTATTGTAATGGCTCTTCTGAAACCCTAGTTGAACACTACCAAAAACTGATCCGATTTTACACACAACTTTACAATAGCAACAAACCATTGTTAACTAACCATTTGATCCAGTTCGTATAGAGGTCTCTCAGACTGGTTGGTTTACCTCACCTACGGGACACAGGCTCGTTACGCTGGCGCGTTTCTAAGCAGTCAGCTGTTCAGCCACGTCGGCGGCGTCACACAGAACTGCACTTCTGCAGACGACAGCACCAAAGACTTGTGGAGGTTGGTAAAACTGGTTTAAACGCACATTATTTGTCATACTGCAGGGAAAACAGCTGTTTTTAATTCTCGCGTTGCAGACTAAATTAGTTTTACCCTGAGGTAAAAAACATTTTTATAACTACCACGATAAACACCATTTTGTTGATTAAACGAGTTTGAAATGAAAAATCATTCTAGAAGTAGGAGTTGTGGAGTAATTCCTAATGCATCTAAATAACAGTAACAGGGGTTTGTTTTTATAGAAAAAATAGGTAGATGTAAGTATAAGATAAACTTTTGTTGGCTTATTCAAAGGCAAAATAATGTACAACCTTTAAGTGTTATTTTTTTTTTCAAAGAATGGTACAGTATGAATACTACCACTTGTCTTTCATTCATATTTGGGTTAAAAATCCGCCTCATATGTCTCCATCATGTTATAATAGTGATACATTTATACATCACGGGTCTTTTACAGTTTGACTTGCCGCTACCCCGACGGAGCCTCCTATATCACCGAAAGGTACGGACGAGACAGCTCCGAGTTTCATCTTTCTGACATTATCGACACAGAGTTCAACTTGAGCATCGCTTTCGCATTCCCCGTCTCGCTTGCTATTGCTAACTGTCTACTCTACCTCGTCCCACTGCCTGCCTTTACAAAGGCCAAGTTCAGAGATTAACATCACTAAGACTATTGACTAATATTATTGTTTTGTGTAAAAAAAGTTTATAATTTATTAATATTAAAGTATTTTAAGCTATTTGTGTTCTTAGTGTGTCCTAGTTCAACCCTTTGAGTTAGGAAGGAAGATGTATAAGACACTGATAGTAAGTTTGACTATTGATACAACTAGACATTCCACCCCCATGTTAAAGTTGTTGCCAGTTTTTAAAATCAAAATTGTCCTAGTTGATGTGAGCCACCTACAGATTGTACTGATCTATATTACTTATTTCTGTCAACTACACAAACTTTTTGCCAAGTCAAACTGATGAATGACTTGAGAGCTAATAGCAGCTGTTATGTCCCGTCAACTATCATTTCAACTTGGATTTTTATGATCTGCTCAATCAGATTTCTTGAAACCCTAGATATTTTCAATCGGCTCACAGCAACAAAAATTCAAACTATTTTAAACATAAAATAGTCACTTATTGTAACAAATGTACTTTATATAAAAAGAGCAATTCTCTTTAACAAATAAGAAAACAGGGCAAAGACAAAATACTTATCACAAATTTTATTTATAACAAATAATACAACTGATACAAAATTGAAAAATATTTGGCAAATTTGCTTACATACTAAAATAAACAAAATAACATGGACGGTACACATAGATACAAAATATTTTTACATTAATTAGACCAGTATGAGGGAGTATGTTTTCTGAACTCTAGTAAATAAACAGTTGTCATACTGGTTAAAGACTATTCATTGACTATAGAAACCAAAAGTAGGAACGTCTCTTGTCTTTGAATATAGAATTTACACAGAAACTATTTTTTGTTGTTAAAATAAAACGTTTTAACTTTTTTTAATAAGTGAATGTGAACTAAAACTTGTTTTAGTTTAAATTTTTGCTTTCCTTTATGGGTTCAAAATGTTTGTGGAAAAAAACATATTGACGGAAGTGTGTTTGTTGTTGGGTTCTGTATCTGATGATGGCATTTTAATGCCGAAACAGCTGTAATCTACAGAAACTACAGAGCTGTGACGAGGTATTTATATTATAGTCATCAATTCAGCTCAGGGGCTAAACCATGTCTATTGAAAAAAACATAGTTAACGAACACTGTACTTTGCAAGTTATTACTGGAAATAAAACAAAGAGTATAACTAGCACAACTTAAGTATGGTTATTTTGATTGGGAATCTATTTTTTGGTGTCTATAGTCGATTATACTCTTATTCGTTAAAACCATCAATGTACACATTTCAACAAGATAAACCTATTACACATAAAGTCTACGACTATGGCGGTATGAAGACTTACTGTAAGAATGTAAAAAAAGTATTTTTTGAAACCTTTATAATCAATTTAAAAAATTATATTAGTTGTTTAATTTTACTTTAAGTTGTGACAATTCAATCGATATTTACTTAGTTCCAATAATTGTAAAGATTTTAAACTATGTGGCTTTAATCGTAAATTAAAAAATATATGTACTGTATTTCCAAATTTAAAAAATGAATAACTTAAGCATTTTGTAAACACAACATAAATGGGTAAAATAATTGGGAGTAAGTCAGCACTGAAATAGGAAAAAATACAAATTTATAGAAATATGATATGCCTAATAGTGTTGGATAAAAATTAACTAAGCTAAAAACTGCACCCTCACAAACTGATCTTTAAACTTAGATTGTAGTTGAATTATGTTCATATAAATATTTACATTTTATATACAAGTCTTTTATAATAATACTTTAGACTTTACAGTACCTTAAGTAACAAGGGTTCTGGGATAAGAATGGTTTAAAATCCATTGTCAAGCGATATAAAATTGACTAATTTTCTTTAAAATGTATGAGCTTTATAGAGCCTTATTCTTGTTAGTACAATTGACCATTGAAACTGAAGAATGAACTATCTCAATGTCCTTAAATTGTGCGAATTTATCAGGAAGTGAATGGTGAATTATTTTATAATAAATTATACCCTTTCGGCATTCAAACTTAAAAATTTTTTAGGCATCCAACAAGGCAAAGAATAATTTATAACCTATAAGAAAAATAAATCAATTTCAGTATCATCAGTCAATGGTACCAAAGAAGCAAAAACTTCAGTATTTATATTTGATTTTGAAGATTCTTCTATGTTTAAATATTTAGTTTATCAATTAGCCACAAATAATAAATATAAAGCTATATTGGCTTGAGCTTAACTACCATTAAGATTTCCTTTATACTATACTAAAAATAGTTTTCCTTTCTAAGTCCATTGTTTGGCACATAGTACAATCATTGCCCAAAAAATATTATAGTTGAGATTCATTCACAAGACTAGTAAAGTTTAGTGTATGATTTGACCCGTAGACCAGAAGTGAAATTCATGACAAAGTCATAATGATATACAAATCAGTTTGTTTTGACTGTGGATACTAAATCATTCATTACAGTATTATCCATTAAATTTAAATTTTCAATGTTATACAGTTCGTAATAGACAATGTTTTTGACATATAACAAATAACATTCAGTATGAAAGTCCCACATTTCACATGAAGTATCTTTACGACAGAACATAAACACATTTCTAAGTAAGCTTGTAATCATTTACTTTGATTTTGTATCCAGAACTAAAAAAAAAACTGTTGATGATACACACAAACACTGTTGTCAATTAAAATGTCAAAAGTATCACAATTTATATAAGACGACAACAGAGTAAAAATGAGAATCATATTTTGACCTTCAGATTTGTAGGTTAAAGAAATCTTAGTTCTGTCATAGAGAAGATTTGATTGTTTCAAAGGCAATTCACACAATGTCTCATCTTCATGCTCTAAGAACTTTGATGACATTCAGTTGGCTACATTGTATTTCTCAGTTGTCTTTATCTTTTGCTGTCAACGGTTGGTCACACTGGTCAATGAACAATGTCGTTCCTCTTGAAGGAATTTCTGCGTAATCTCGTCCTGTAGAACACAATTTGCTGCTGACTTCGGTTGCTCTTTTGCTGCAACAATAAATTTCATGTTACGTTTTTGTCCATCTTTAAGTAAATTTAATTGTGTTTTTTTAATTTTAGTCACTTACAGCTGCCTTAAAAGGGCCACACTATAACCATGGTTTTGGGTTCTTCTAATACAGCTGTTGCACTAATTCATTATGGAGCCTCTGCACAATGTTTATGTTTACACGTTTGTTATTACGGTACTGATATTACCATGGCTATAGGCACCGGCCAGTGCAATGTTTGCGTCACACCAACATAGGACAACATAGGACATAGGGTCTTGTAGGGGCTGTGCTAAAACACTTTTAACAGGGGATGAATTAACTGTTCAGAGATATTCTGCATACAAAGAACTGACAAAATCAGAGAGATAGGCCATATACTTTTTCTAAAAAGGTACCTTACCTTAGCATTACAGAGATAGGGATTCCGCCTCCCCTAAAGTATATTTGTTTCATTTCAAATTACAAACTCTCGGATTCGTATAGTTTGAATGTCGAATGGTTCGGACTGTCAACAGTGTATACCTATATCACTCATGACAGGCATTCAATCACGGCATAAACACACTGGCTTTGTCCATAGATACATAAACAAACAAATCAACCTGTTTGTCTTACTAATGCTCAAAATTGAACGATGTTTTGCGGAACACACAAACTATTGTTGTAGGCAACAGAAAATTATCCAAAATTTCATAAATAACTACGTAATGCTAGAACTTACTCTCTCGCCATGATGTCCTTGGTTTCCTCGACTTTGACAGTGCTGACGTACAAGTGGTCGTTGCACCAGAGGAAGCAGATGGATCTCGGCTGCAGGACGTCCATGTCGTACTCCCAATACAGATCAACCTTGCGTACAGGCCCGATGTTGTCTACATGCGTCACGACAAAACTACGAGAAGTCCCATGTTGGAACTTCTCGTATCCGCTGTAAGGAAAGGAAATTTAGTCTGAGTTGTTTTTGTTTGTGTGATAATATAGGTATACATGAGCTGGTATGTAAAAAAGCATCGTTAGTAAGATTAGAAGGTGGAAAATAATGATGTGTTGGTTCAATTCGTTTTTGGTATTGGTACCAGTTTTTGATCTAAATTGATTTTCTTTTCTTGGTACAAATACTATTGGTACTTAAGAAATAATTCTCATTTTAAAAGGTACAAGCTGAGAAATAATACCCATTTTAAAAGGTAGAAGCTGCAAACTTTTACATCTTTATACAACATACTTATATTGTAAAAATATGTTGGCCACACACAAATGACCATCTAATCCTATCTATGGTTTGACGGAAGGTACCTGGGAGTGAGATCGAGGTTGCGTATGATGTTGTTGTCGCTATGCAGCGTCACTTTCATATATCCCTGGACCCACGACTCTGCCTTGGGTGGCTTGGCGAGATCTACCGTCACCCGGTAATGGTATCCTGTTAGGGAAACTTATCATCAGTTTACAAGAAATTTAAAAAATTGGGAACTAAACTACAATCTCTCATCAATTACTCATCTTTCTACCTTTAAACCCTTGAGCTGCGTCAGCTAATACATCGGAGATGAGAGTGATATAACCAAGCTCTTACTTATCTATGCAAGTTTGTGCAACTAAACACAAACAGCGAATGCTGCACCCTGGAAGTCATAAGTTTAAAACTACTACCCTTGGTCTTTGGAATGACCAGTACTGTTAGTGTGCTAAACCATTAGGTCTGGTAAATGCTCAAAGCGGTCTAAGCAGAGGTGTTGTCTCCCCGGCTGCACTAAAATAAACAGCTGAGTGGACATGTGGATTCTTTTTTTAGTGGCAAAATCAGGAATTTTGCTTCTTTTAGTCCAGTCAAGGAATGAGGTGTAGAGTGCGTGAGCAGGTAACTAAGCGATTCCTTCAGAAACTTGTTCAGGGGGCTTAGGGTGTTAACATACCAAAAGTCCTGACTCCTAGGTGGTGAGCCAGTGGGTGGAGGGGGGTAAAAGGGGGGGGGGAGAAAGATACGCATTTTGGGTTTTTCGATTATATCTCGAAAACTATCAACTTTTTGTATACTACAGTAAATTATAAAATTGAAGAAGATTAAATTTTCTACAAGAAAAGTACATAATGTGTTTATTTTGGTTCAACAGATTACGAGTTATAACTTATTTAATTGATATCTTATTAAAATCTCCTTCCATAAGAAATACATGTAAATTAGTATGCGAAATGGGGCGAATGCTATCCGCCCAAAGGAAATATAAATGATATTCTGGAAATCTTGACAAAATTTCCAGTAATTTGACACTTCAATCATTAAAATTGATCCAAAATTAAGGCGAGGGCGAGGTAACAAAATGTCGAGTTTTGGTGTTTTTTTATTGGAAATACAAAAAAAACCTTAAATCATCCCATTTTTAAACGCTCTCCCTCGCTTTAATTTTTGACAAAATTTCATGATTAAAGTGTCAAATTACTGGAAATTTTGTCAAGATTTCCAGAATATCAGTTATATTTCCTTTGGGCGGACAGGATTCGCCCCATTTCGAATACTAATTTACATGTATTTCTTATGGAAGGAGTATTTTAATAAGATATCAATTAAATAAGTTATAACTCGTAATCTGTTGAACCAAAATAAACACATTATGTACTTTTCTTGTAGAAAATTTAATCTTCTTCAATTTTATGATTTACTATAGTATACAAAAAGTTGATAGTTTTCGAGATATAATCAAAAAACACAAAATGCGTACCTTTTTCCCCCCTCCACCCCCTGGCTCACCACCTAGGAGTCAGGACTTTTGGTATGTTAACACCCTAAGCCCCCTGAACAAGTTTCTGAAGGAATCGCTTAGTTATCTGCTCACGCACTCTACACCTACTTTTGGATCATTCATTGACTGGACTATTTTGTATAGTCTTTAAGGTGTGTGCCTCCACCAACAACTTTGTCATTTAAAATAGCTTGGATTTTTACATTATAAGATGAGACACAGAGAAGTGAGGTAAAGGAAACATTCAATGGTACACCTACGTTGTGTCTAGCTTAGACGCTTGTGTCTAAGGCAAAGTCCCGCCCCCCCCTCGCCCTCATGTACTACTACGTTTAATGAGGGGGAGCGAGCTGGTCTAGTGGTTAGAGCGCTGGACTTTTGTTCCAGAGATCCAGGGTTCAAATCCCGCCAAATCACCAATGGATTTTATCGATGTGATAATGCCGCAACCTTAAGTTCTAGCCTGAAGCAATGTGAAAAACAATTCCGGGCTCGTACCTAGCGTCCTAAGACAAAAAAAGAGCTGAAAGCTGGGTATTGCTCCCATCATCAAGTTTCCTCTGTACCTTACTTCTCTATGGATGAGGGAAAACATAATCAAAATAAACTAAGAATGACTAAATAATCCACGGAGTTGAAAGGGTTAAAGTATTTTTTACAGTATATTTTTTGTATCACTTGAAAACAAATAAGTTTGAAAACTTACGACAGTAAGGCTCCTTCTTGCCCGTCATGACAAAGTACTTTGAGCCTGCAGGTGCGTGGTTGGGCTTCTGTACGTTGAGGCCCATCACTGCACATCCTGTGGCGTTCTCATTACAAGAGAAACATCGGCCCTGGAACAATTGGGTTATTTAGATTGAAAATACTTTACCAAGAGGTAGGGTCCCTGTATGTAAAGTGTAGGTGAAAACATCAGTTGTAATTTAGTGTGGTTACAAGATAGCATTTTTGTTTGAGTTCTACACTATTAAAAGTTATGACGTTAATTTTAGTTAAAGATATTTTGGGTTCACTATCGGCATTGGAGTTGAAATGTGTTATTTGAGTTTTTGACGTGAATAGGATAAGATAAATATATATAAAATTTCTTTCCTTTTGGTGGAATAATATTTTCATCTTTGATTGAACCGTGATAAATTTAAAAATGTAATATAAATGCTAAAAAACATATTAACTTTGTTGGTTTGGTAAACTGTGACAAATTTTGTTGACAGCTCCATTACCAAATCCGATCCAATTTTTGAAAATTATAAAAATTATTTGTCTTATTTGTTATAAGAAAATAAAACCAACACAACTAAAATGCAGCATTCAAGATTCCAACTCGACATACCTGCAAGAACTGTTGATAGGAAGGACAGCGATGTGCGACGTAGGGACAGTGGCTGTTGATCGACTCGGTGAACAGTTTGATTGCTCGGATGTGGTTGCACGCGACCAGCACCCGCGATGCCTCCTCTATTCCCTCTTTGATGACGGTGAGTGGCAACGGCGGAGTGTCTCCGAGGTCACAGCCGGGCTGCTCCTTGCCGTTGTTAGGGTAGAAGTCTACGTGGCCGCACGGCTCACTCATGCCATAACCTAGAAGTAGAATTACATAGTATATTTCTGTGAAGCTCATGTTTGGTGATGGTAAGTTCACATGCTACATAATATGCAGTCATCCACTGGTGCAATAATCTATGTGTGATAAATTGAATTCTCCAACACTCCGTTTGAACAATATACATTAAGTTTCATAATTAGGAAACACAGGAGAATATGGTCAAGATATTTTAACCATTCTCTACACTGCAGCTTAATAACCTACTTTCCCATGTCGTATGCAAGCGGAAACTCAAGCTTAAAGGGTCATTTACTGGTACACTCTTAGTACATCTGCTGTAGTATGCTGTCTATTTTGGCAACAACGATCACAAGTACTGTGTTTATAAGTTACCATAAAGGGTTAAACTGATCTAATTAGGGTTCCAAGTCACCAGAATAAAGAAACTTGGGATTAAATTCCAGGACTGTAACTGTCAAGTCAAAATTAACACAGAATGAATACAACTGAGTACACACCATTCAAACAGATGTTATTTCAAACAGTAGTAAGTTGTTTAAAGTAAGTAAGCACATTTTAATTAGACAATGGGCGCGTTCTGGGAACATGTATCGGTGCACCGGTGCAGATTAACCGGTGACTTATTCACCGGTACCGCCGTACCGCCCCGGGGCAAGATTCTTGGTATCCCAGAACGGTTATTCACCGGTTTACGGTACACATCGTATTACACATCATGATTTACACATTCACCTATTTTTACTTTATAATATTTAAACCAAACAAACTTGTCCTTACAGAATAAATTATTTGAAAATTATTCACTTAGTACGTAATTTAACGACCTCATAGAATAAATTATTCACTCATTACGCAACATAACCTATAAAACTGATGAACATTATTCGATGGACCCGCCATCTTGCCGTAGCTGCATGCTGTTGTCGTTGTCCAAGCAACTGACCAATCAGAAGCCGCCGGTGTATTATGCACCGTACAATTTCTCCGGTGCATAAATCTTGCACCGGTGGAGGAAAAAGAGGAAATAGCTGTCTGCTAGGTTAACTCACCGGTCTCCCAGAACGACACATTTTTTGCACCGGGGCAACACCGGTGCACCGGTGCATGTTCCCAGAACGCGCTCAGTAAGTCAGTTAATTGTCATAACAGTACATGCAACAATGTGAATTAATAAACTTATGGTTTAACAACGTAAACATAACCAAATAGTTAGTAAATTAGTTAGTAAAGTAGTATTGTTAGTAAATGTTAGTCACAGGCAGAGTTAGTGTTTACATCCAGTATTAGTAGAATAAGTAGGTAATCAAGCATGGATTATGCTGTTGGTAGTTTGGTATGAACATGCATCTAGGAAAGCAGTTCCATTAGAATGCATGTTTGACATGAACGTACCGATGGACGGCAAAGTGACGGAAGGTAGAGGTCGTTGAGTGTTGCGAATCCAACTTTCTGTAAATGAACACTTGTTAGTCCTTTTGTAAAAAGTTCTTCTATGACCGAACTGTACTTGGTCCCATATACTAATATGGCTTATGCTCATTTTTGGTTAACTAAAACCTCTAGAAAAAATATAAATTGATTAGAATTAGGCAAAATTAGCATGGCAAGTTTAACTTACTCTCCAGATACTTGAGTCTTGGTAAAGTGTGTGAGTCATTAAAAGAAAGTTTATTGTTTTATTTTTATCATTTAATCAATCATGTCTTATCTTATGTTTTGTGATTTTGTATAAGTACTTCCTGAAAACAATACCAAATACCACTTACAACACAATAATTAATTTCATCTAAAGGAGATAAATTAGCGTAAACATTTGTTCCTCGAAAGTTTCACTTTAAAACCCCCACAGAGAAATTACAGCTCACACAATACACACATACCACATAAAAGTTAATGTATAGTAAACTGATCGAAACATTGAAATAACAATCAGAGATGACATAGCAATGATTTGCTCTCTCAAATAATTTTGCCATGAACAGGATAGGATGACATTTAATAGTACAGTAGAACGGTAGTCGATAGAACGAGCCCGGGATTGTTTTTCACAATAATTCAGGCTAGACCTAGGGGTTGCGGCATTATCACTTAGAAAAAATCCATTGGTGATTTGGCGGGATTTGAACCCGCGACCTCAGGGACCGAAGTCCCAAGCTCTAACCACTACACACCATCTCGCTCCTCCAAAGAATTTATAGTAGAGATGTAAGTTGATAAGTTTGTTTATTTTTCTCAAGTTTTATTCATTAAATTTGTTTGCTTTATCTCGTGTTTTAAATACTCCCTGTGTATAAGCGTCCAATATACTCCCTATAGTTCAACATTTTGATAGTTTGACACCCCCTTAGTCCACAAAGCATTGAACTTTCAATTTTTTACTGTAACAAGACCCACACAAAACGCTTGTTTTGGTCCTCCTCCCACAAAAATGTTAGGGAACCCCAACAGAGTTTTAAAAAACAAGTAAGGTTCTAACATAAATATAAAATACATATCAAACCTACTGACCGAGTAGGAAGATCGATGAGCCGTCAGTGTGGATCACATCGACGAGCTGAGCGTCGCTGGGATCGAGTCGCACCTGAGCAGGCATTCCCTGGAAGTAAGGCTCAGCTGGGTCCAGGCCAGTGATACGGCCCAGCCCGGCCACCCTCTCACCAGCATAGCCCGCTGTGTGTGCGCCCAGACTGTGACCTATGATGTGAACCTCCTTCGGCTTCAACCCGTACTTGTCCTGTGTAACAAAGATATACACTGTCTCATTTCAATCAATTTATTTAAGTTTTATTATACACACGCTCTAGTGTTTTTTCCTCAAATTATCATTGTCCTAGTCCTAATCTTGGAAGAAGGTTTTGACGGTTAGGCTCTGGACCAAGATGCTATTTGTTGTCTGAGTTCTGATCAATAAATTAAAGCCAAAGTACGAATCAAAATATATAAGAAAATAAACGGTAATAGCAATCTGACACATACATTCTTCTATTAGCTTGTCGACAACCCCCCTTATAAAAGCTATAAAATTAATATATAAAATAATATATAAATTAATTAATATTTATATAAAATTTATTCCCTTATAAAATTTGGCAAGCGGTAACTATGGCGTAACTAGGGCTTATAACTTTTATGAGGCAAATCACAAAAGTTAACCCAAATTGCTTGAGCTGTTGTTGTAAAAATGTGATCTGACCATTATTTGATGGGTTTTTATGGGAAAATCAACATAAAAAAGTTTAAAACGTGAAAAGATTCCTGAAGTTACCATGAGTTGGTAGGCTACCAACACACCAAATGTCATAAAAATCGGACCACAGGTGTAGTCTGTAGCTCTGTACAGATTCACACATACATGTACTTTGGAAACCACTTTTTTGGGTTTAGGGGGACCCAAAACATATATTGCCACCCAAAACTCAAACATGAAAATTTTTACGACAATACTTCCCCCAAATTCTATCACTATGTGATATCTATTAGGATGAGATCGTAAATAGAACAAATTTTAAACTGTCCCCTTATATCGCGAAACACCCTATGGCAAGTTATAGTGAAAGTTAAGTTCCTTTACAGTCAAAATACACAGTCAAACAAGTCCATTCGTGCTATAAACACATCAACTAATCTATTAATAGATTAGAGTAATTTACCGTGATGTGTAGGGGAGAAGTAATAAACATATAAGAACCTCCTTTAAGAACCTCCATATAAGAAACAAGAAATGTTTGTACCAAATGTGTACTGGATTTGATTGAAATTTGAAGCTTTCTCAGTGGTTGAAGATTTGTGGCCCTAATTTGGAAGCCATCCAGAGCCAGAATAATTATACCTCACATTGAAGGGTTTATGAAAACCTCTAGTCTCTCTTACAAAACTTCTCGTAGTCACTAACGTCGGTTGCAATCACAAGACAATAATTTACCTTGAGGTGGTTGATGAAGTGAGCAATTTCCAACCCCACCAGTCTGGTGTTGGCCGTAGCCTGTGTGTAAAGAGGCAAGGAACCTCCGGCCCAGTCTACTACGATCACGTTCCAGTCAGAATGCTTCAGTAGCTCTCGTCTCATCTCCTGCAGACAGCACAGTTTGTAGAAAACAACTTGTTAAGTGCTTAACTAATTAATCCGTTGAGCTCAAAAAGATTTGTAAAAAAACAACACAACCAAAAATCAACCTACAACTATCCATTCAAGTATCATAAAAAAATTTTAAACTGTTAACTGTTAGCTGCTGTTTAGTGATAGCTTTAACTATGTCTCAGCTCAGCTATAGCTATAGCAGTAGAGCCATTTACTGCAATCTAAAACTCAAGTTTTAACTACTAAACTTGGGCTTTTAGTGGACCAGTATTGTTAAAGTGGTTGACGGTTATGTTTGATCAACTTGGAACAGCTATCGCTTGCATTTATGAACTCGATAGTTTTTCAACTTCTTTAGGTGCATTATTTGGGGCTTTTAAAGTATTTTTTATAACAGGGAAAGATACAAAGTGATGGATAAAATATTAAAGTGTCAATTCAACTATACTTTGTTCACAAATATTTAGGCAGTTTCAGAGGAAGAAATCTATATCCTCCACTGCATACCTTTAAAAATAATAGCTCAACAGCTGATGTTTGCAAAAATATAAATCAGCTGTGCTATATAAGTAAAAAAAAGTTGTGGGGGAACTTCGCCTCAAGCCTCAAACCACCTAAATTTTGTGAATGGAGTATAATAGTTGAACTTAGTTATTTATTTTGACACGCACCTTACCTACAACAAACCAATTATATATGTATTATATTTTAGAATGGTAAAAGCAATGGAGACTTAAGAATCAATGACAGAATATTGTTCAAGCTGGATTTTCCAGCAAATTAGAAATCCATGAGATTAAAGACAATATTGTCTGTGTCTGGATTTTATTTAAACACTTACAAAGGTAAAAATATGTCTTGATCATGATAAAAATATACACTTAGAAACATAACTTTTATTTTCTCTATGTAACTTTAACACCCACCTTCACCCAGCTGCTAAGAGGTGTGTCAATAAATCCGTGGACGATGAACTTAGTCTGTTTCTTAGCGTCAAAATTGGACTTCTGGATTGTCTTGTCTGCATTGGCTCGCAGAGTCTGGCCCTAAAATAAATTTAACTCTTTATTGATGATTGAAATAACAAGAACGACAACATAAAGCAGTAAAAGACAAAACTCGTCACACTACAAAGTGAACAAAGAAGAGTAAGTGTGACTTCTGAAGAAGAAAGAAAACTACGGTTCTACCAGATGAAAACGTACTAGGGAAACACAACCAAAGACAAGAAAAAAGAAGAAATCTTCTCATTAAAAAAATGTGGGTGGTCCAAGGCTGGCCATAAAATGTCAATAAATTAAAAGAGCAAAATAATCTAAAAAATATCAGAGCGTTTAAACTTCTAAGTCTCTAACAAAAGGCATAACAAATTAAAATTGTCTAAAAAAAAGGTCACTCTCCTGTTCAACTTGAGGATGATTAAACTGTCCAATCAATATCTTTAAATCATTCAGTTTTAAACTTGTTGAGGTAAAAACCAAATCATTGTCAGCTGTGAGTTTTGAACAAACAAAAAGCTACTAAATCTTTCTCAGGATTTTAACCAGCTACCTTTTGATTGGTAAACAATATTTACATTTTCATTCTCCAACTCCTAAACCTAGGGCTACACTCACTTCCAACGGGTTCTTGCGCGTGTAGAGGACAAATCTGGTGTCGATGACTTCTCTCGGCAGGGGGAAGACATTGAGAGGTCTGTAGATGAGGTGGTACCAGTCTCGAGTGATGTTGAGACAACCGAGCTCGTCATAGCAGCGAGTCTCTCCTTCAACTGGAACAAGCAAGAAAATATTTGTTACAACTCAATAAATCAAACAATCTTTATAACGTAAAAACAGTTTGGTACCAGAATTATCTGAAAAATCACTGTAAATAAGCTAAAACTATTAATTGAAGCAAAAACCTATAAAGGCTAACCTATAAGTTTGGGGAGCAAGCTCCTCTAGGGTTAGAGCATAGATAAAAGGAGTATGGTTTGCTAGGAGCTACAAAGCCTGAGGTCCTGGGTTCAAATCCCACCAATCACTAATGGATTTTATCAATTTCATGATGCCGCGATCCTCTAGAACTAGCCTGAAGTAATATGGAAAACAATTTCGGGCTAGATCCTATAGCGTCCTAGGATGGGAAGGTGGGACATAAAAAAATAATAACAACATTTAAAAAAGAATTTATCAAGTTTGGTTTTAATACAACAAAATTAAAATGAATAACTACAAAACTTTTTATCAGAAGATTAATCCAGCTAGTTGAAAATTTTTATGCATAACATAAAAGAAAACATGTGAAAATCAAAGCAGATACGGTACATTTTTTTGCCTTAGTTTGATTTTTGATACCGGTACACAAAATTGTTGAACAGAGTGGAATACTGATAAAATTAAAAACCTTTTTAATAATTTTAAATTTGACTAGGCCTAGATTTTTATTTTATTTTAATGTTTATGAAAGTTGGTGTAAATTTGTTTCATACACAGCTGGTATTTTTTTGTAATCTCCAAATCGTACTGCTCTACCAACCGATGTGATATTTTGTAAAGTGTATATGAACGCTGTTACCTATTGAAATTTTACCATTGATATAAAATATAATTAGGTCTAAACCAATGAAGAGACACGGTGAATATTTTTATTTGACAAAAAACTTTCTTTACCAGGCATTATAAATCTGGAATTAAAAACTACCCTTAATGCTTTTCTTTGTTGGAGCAAAACTCCATGTAACAATAATTAATTTTTAAGGAAAGTGGGCAGTATAAGAATTTGTTCAATTCGATAACTTGTTTCTGTGACCAGTTTGCATAATTTTTTCTATACTGTAAATCATATGTTGTATTAAAATGGTTTATGGCTTTAGTTCTTTAACGAGCTGACTCACAAATGAATGGATGGTGTATGTAAAAGCAATGCAAGATTAATAATAAAAAATAGCTTTTATTTACGATAACCGTCTGGCATGTGAAAAAAGAAGGCATCCATTCTTGGTATAATATCAGACAATACATGAACCTTGTACTTGAACATATGGAGTCATACATAAGAGAGAAAAGTTTTCACAATACTCTATGTGACGGATATGTGAAAAAATGTTTGATGTTTTATGGTATCTCCCAGATGGTGGGAAAGCCAGAGAGAAATCACACAAATTGACAGTAGGACACAAAAAGGATTGATGGGAGAAAGGTAAAGATAAAGATGGCATGGTCGGCAGGAAAGTTCCATGCATTTGCAGGAAAGTACCGTGTGTTTGCAGGAAAGTACCATGCGTTTCTGCCAGCTGACATTACTGCAAAGTACTGCATCCATTACCCTTGTTAAATGTATCATAACTCATAGTAACTACTGCATGGATGTCAACAAGATCTAAACTATAGTTCGGCCGCTTAGAAAGTGACCTCCTATAGCATTGGTTTAGCATTAGCGCGCAGGTCGTTTTCTAAGCGGCCGAACTATAGGTCTGGGGCAATCTGAGGCAGTGGTTGATAAATTACATTTCAAAGGCTAATGCAGCCAGCTGGTTCATAATGATGAAGTGAATATACAACTTAATTTGTCTAAATGGTTTAGAAATCATTATAGTGTTGAAAAAGTAAATGATTTATTTCAATAGATAGAGCATGAGAGCTTGGAATAAAACAATTATAAAATGATTTTTTGTAGACAGGCAAGTCAGAACCTTTAGATGCTAATAGCAAAGATTACATATTATGTAATCTTTGCTAATAGTAATCCATCTATTACTATGTATGGAATTCTGTAATCCATCTACTACTTTATAGGAAGTCATGGTAGTCAAAACCATCAATTTTGAATCTCGAATACGGATTGACGTCAAAATTGAGTACCAAATCTCAAATGTTTTATGAAATACAGTGTAGAATCTAATGTATTGATTCGGACAGTAAATAAATTAATTTAAAATATATTTTGTTAAATATTATGAGTCCAGCCTATTGAATCTTTGAATTAGAATTTTTTCTAGAGATTATTGTATTTAAGATAAGACTTTTGCATCAATATCACCACAGATAACCCTATTCACTAGTTCTGTCTCATAGTTTCAAAATCCATCCAAGAACAGCCAAAAATATTAAGGAACTGAAAAATCATGACCAATTTTCAATCCAGCCAATGAAAAAATGTTTTCTTTTGAAATGGTAGATTCAAGATTTAATTTCAAGGCAATACCCATAGATACTAAATGTAATCTATGAATTCTAGCATTGAATATTGATAAAACTAGCTATTCTATCCCCATGTTAAAGTCGTTAAAGAGGCAGGGTCGCGTTAAGGGTCAGTAGAGCCCTGGGCAAACTCAAAAGCAGCACCCCCCCTTTTTCCTAGTGCGGTAGTTGGACCTCCTAGGCGGTAGGCGCCCCTGGGCATATGCCCGTTTATAAAAGCACCGTTTTAGACACTAGCACATTCTGTGACTGGCTCTCACAACTAGGCTTATGTTGTTTTAAAAAAAATTTGCAACAGCTGGTCCATATAGATGGGATGTCTAATTCAGTATCCAATAGTCAATAATTTAGTGTATAGTGGTCAGTGGAATACATACAAGGTAGCCAGGGGAGGTTGACCTCTATACGATTGTTGCGACCTAAGTCCAACACCACACAGTTGCACAGGCCCACGGTAACTGCCAGCACTATGGCGCCACTTTGGGACATTTCACCTGGAACACATATAAAAATGTCATGACTTTGATCAAAAACTGGTCAAACTTCATTCCATCACAGATAACAGACACTTAAGGCTACAGAGAAAACATTCCATTCCATGGTACACTTAAGTGGTGTCTAGCACCGGTGCTGGTGTCTAGGTCAAAGTCCGACACCACCACCATCGCCATCATGTACTCCACGCTCACGGTGGAGGAACAGTGGCGGCGATAAGAACACGAGGGCCTACCCGCAAGTTTGTTCTCCAGGCCCCCAGCACTCTCCCAAAAATCTTTAAAAACATTGTCACATGTGGTACGGTATTTTCCACTTAGCTTGCACTTGTAGCTCAGCATCTCCTGAGGCACCAAAGTGTCATCATCGTCTTCCATGATCGTGTAAGTAATGTATCGTGGAAAAATCGTTAATACTTCCCATAGTCACAAAAACATCATCATCATCTACCATGATTGCAACCAAATCCAGGACATCTCCTGCGGTCAAGTAGACATCATCGCCTCCCCCGATCGCAATCAAATCCCAAAATATCTCAAGCGGTAAAACAAACGTCATCATCGTCTTCTGTGATGGTGTCAAAATCTTGAATATATCACACGGAAACATTATATCGTCTTCCACTATCGCACCAAAATCCTAAAGCTCTCCTGCGGTCGTGTGGACATCATTATCGTCTTCAATCGCGGCAAAATATTCAACATCTCCCGCGGCCGCGGAGACATCGTCATCGTCATCGTCACCCGCGGGGAAATTTTCTCGACGACATCCGCGATCACGGCAAAAGCGTGAATCTTTCAACCGCGTGGGCGTGATCCTCGTAGACGCGTTCTGCGGTCATGATGTTATCGTGGCCGTAAAAGCTCGGCGCTAGCACGATTTTTGACTTTGTGCTTGATTTTTCAAGCTTGTAGGCCAGGCTCGGCTCGAAAATCAATATTCTGTATTAAAAATCAACCCTTTCCAAAGCAAACAAATTATATCCGACCTGATTTAGGCCAGAAGGTATAACTTTTTACCTGACCTGAGCTATTTTACTGGTTTCAAAAAATGTTTGTCATGTGGTTTGACGTATGGTAGTACTGTACTCATATAAATATGTCTTCATAGGGGGCGTATAGCAGGGCCCGTCGCGGGTCCGGGTCCCGGTAAAGATTCCAGAAAAATTCCTGTCAAGACTCGCTTCCCCACCTGGACCGCGGACCCGCATGTGGTGGGCAAATAACTAAAAAAATAACGTCTTTCATTACTATTCTTCCCTCCGCTAGATAAGCTTTTATGGCCTCTTGGTCGTAAAAATCGGTTAAGTAGGACGGCCTGAAGAAGGAGTTACAGAGAAACCCATTGTATGAATTATATAGATAGAAAGACGGGTAATTTTTACAGCTACCTGAAAATTACTTATAGATTGCATCACAGAGAAATAGGACACGTTTTCTCTGTGACAGGATTCGAAAATCCTTAGAGAAGCGAAATTAATCAGATAATAGAGTATAGAGACAGTCATTTTGTAATATAAAATTGCAAATTCAAAATCGTCTGAAAACTTTGTTATATTCTTGTAATTTCAACTAGTTCAACCATGACACTACTAGTTTCATTGTAAAGGGTTGTTTGGTGTAGCAACAATCGTCATAACACCTGATGTCAGATAATTTACGAAGGTGACTTGCAGACGGAGTGACCGCATAACCGAGTGGTTGCGGTTGAGGTTCGATGAAAGTGAGAAGCAAAATATTTGGCAGTGACATAACTTGGGAGGAAGTTGTGGACCTGACCAATGCGGCAATCCGTAACGTCACAGATCTTGATCATACACATCCAAATAATAAATAATATATTTCACCACACTACGATGTTTTAAGCCGTTTTACAAACGTTTATTGGAGACCGAAAGCTACGTATTGCTGTCTATGCCAGCTGTCATCGTCATTTAAGGAACAAGCAGGTTTTTACATCCCTAGGGCCGAAAATCGGCTGCGCTCTTACTTTCTTAAACATTATGCATATTAAATACACAATCAATAAATGCGTACTGAATTAATGAAACCTGATTATTTCCACATAATGTATACGTACAGAAAAAACACACTTTTTAATAAAAATTATACTTACAATTACAAAATATAAACTAAGACTAAGAATAAAAAAGAACATTTATGTATTAATTAATTTGATTGATTTTATGAAATACAGCAGACCTAGGCAAGTGCTGCCTGTGCGTCTGCTGGGTTCCTATTTAAATAATTATTAGTAACCAAATGTCCAAATATATATGGAATTATTACCTATATAAAAAGATTAATAAATGGAATGACTGTTGCTTAAAGGTTTTATTAGTTTAGGGAAGGAGATTTTATATGAATACACTAAAAATAGAATAATAAACTAGAATAAATACAGTTTTGATCAGGTGGGGACTAGACCTACAAATAAGGATATATGCTGGCTCAGGATGGATGGGACAAGGATCGGGTCAAACGTGCCGGTAATCTGCTGTGATGATAACATCGGCCTTATCTATACCCAGCCCGAAGAAAAATGGTTTGATTCATAGTTTGACTTTGAAAACACAATCACAATTGAAGGTGATTCGAAAGGATTAACGTTCATTTTTCTCTAACTAAAAACGTTTACGCGTCGAAATAGCATTGCTTCATACAGTGACATAGTTGGTGATATAAATATTGACTTGGAATGGTTCACTCCTTGTTCACCGTAAAATTGGAAGCCTCTAATCAATAACTGAGTGAGTTTATTCTATGTAATAATTAGTTTGTTAACAATTTGGCCAATGAAGAGTAAACGAACCTAACTGCAAAGTGAAACTTACTGGAAAAAATAACAAGTAAATACTATTAAAATTATACAGCCTTGCTTATTAGCAGTCATCTAACCATATAAACCACAATTATCTGTTGTCATCATCGTCTTCGCTTACACCAGACATTAGTATTGTAATTGACCAAGATCCATGTTACATAATTGATGATTGATGTTAATTGCTAGTTAGCGGAATAGCTGCTAATCGTTGTCATGTTCAGCTGCCGGCGTTGTGCCATATTAGGTTGGATGTGGGCTATTGTAGGTACAAATATGATAAGCCAAACAATAATAAAACAACAAATATAATAAGGCTTATATCAGGTAAGGTAAGATTATAAAAATGTATCAACTATATCAATCATTTATGATGGGGACCATTATGTGCGTATTTTAACCCAAATATGAGTGAAGGATGAGTGTAGGATGAGTGGCGCGATCTTGTAGTATTGTTAGTGACTAAGAACGACATATTCCTTAGACACAGCTGTTAATAAATAGCCAAAACAGCTAATGGCAACTAAGGGATCTACAGTTTATAGTGGAATCCGAACCACATTTTTGGCTTGGTATTAATGATTTTTTTCTAATTATCAGAATAGTACTACGGATAGTAGTAGTACTCACTATTGCGGACGTTAATCCACACCAGGGAGTATCGCACCCACAGTGCATCTCTATAAATATCCACAATTCGTGACCTCCTAGTAGTTGGATTACAGGACTACGCCACCGGTCCAGTCTCAAAATAATTTCAAAGTTCTCGTGTTAGTATTATTAAATTTGGGTAGACGGACAAATATTTGTGTTAACTTGATGACAAGAATGATCTAAATCGGTTAAAAAGTCACAAAGTATACAAGCGCGTTTCTAATAGGCTCAATTAAATCGTTCAAATATTTATAACCTCAATAAACCCGTTATCCTTTTTTGTATCTAAAACCAGATTAAAACAATGTTCAACACTCATTACTTAACTCGCATACTAAAATGTATAACAAACAATCATTAACATTTAAACAGGAGGAGAAAGGCACAACAAACCCTCAGTAACTTCCTTAAGCGTTGCCTGTACTGCTGGACGACCAAATAACAATATAATTATCATAATTGCCTCAGAGGTTATGAAATTTAAGTGTCGTCGGTTTATTACCTTGTCAAGTAGGTCACAAATTCGTAGCATTCTCCCCTTTATAACATCTTACAGCTGATTGCAACAATAACATCAGCTGTTGTATAACCTCAAAAATAAGTGGTTCCTAGTTATGATGAGTGGCACAAATTGGTACAGGGAATATGAAACTAATCAATTTCAAATATTTCAATAAACAATTATCTGATGAAGGTAAACGTTTTCGATTTATATTTGGTTTTAAATGTATGCACATTCATATTCATACACTGACTACAAAATAAATTACCTAAATTAGTTTCATATAGTAGGTAAACAAACATACCGAATCAATATTTATTTAGTTTATCAAATACCAAATGAAGTTATTATCAAACTTTATATAAGTTTGTCTGGAAAATATATTTGACTGAAAGAGTACTTTAGTTTAGTACAAAAAGGAACCACGTTAACGCTATAAATGATAAAAATATTTTCATGATAAATAATATAAATATGAACCAAAATAATGGTAATGTTTGTCTTCCAATCACATAAAAACCCATGAACCAATGACAGGACTTGGAAATTTTTCATGAATATGATTTACAAATACATTTTTTTAAATTCCAAAGAGCTAATTGAAAACTATACGTTGTGCCAAACTAACTACAACATTAATTTAACTGTAAGGGTACACTTTATTATAGAAATTACGTGTTTTAGCTATAGTCCTACCTAAATAAGATAGAATTTTCATTATAACTTCCAAATAAATAATCTATGAACGGTTCGATGTTAAATACAAAGCCAGGACTTTTACCTTTCCCTAGGAAAAAAAAATAATGACGTGGATTTGAGATTGATAAAAGCTATTCAACTAGATGAAAGTGAAAAGGCTAGAACTGAGGCAGAGTTTTAAGTTAGAAATGTTAAGTGGTCGGACCAAATGAGACACTAGAATATAATGGCTATCGCTGGACTAGGGCTATAACAGCCCATTACAACCCATTTAACCATCTTTGTTCAATAAATATTAATGGCTGTAGAGATATGATCTAATGG